TAAGAATCTCTAGGTCCTCCAATGTAGATCAATGGCCAACGTCCGCCAATTATGCTGGAGGACCTAGATAGTTCTGGAAAGAACACATCTCTAGGAATCTGTAGGTCTTCCAATGCAATTCTGTAGCCAGCTTCCAGCTGAAGTTGACCATAGAGTCATATGGACCCAGGATTCCTTAAGAGGTGGACTGATCTTGTCATTTGGGAGTTGTAGTTGCTGGGATTTATAGTTAACCTACAATCAAAGAGCATTCTGAACTCCACTAGTGATGGGATTGAACCAAACTTGGCACACAGGACTCCCATGACCAACGGAACGCACTGGAAGGGTTTGGTGGGCATTTACCTTGTGTTTTGGAGTTGTAGTTTACCTATATCCAGGTAGAGCACTGTGGACTCAAACAATGATAGATCTGGACCAAACTTGGCACAAATTCTTAGTATGCTCAAATTCTCAATATGGTCACATATGAACACTGGTGGAGTTTGGGGGAAATAGACCTTGACATTTGGGAGTTGTAGTTGCTGGGATTTATAGTTGAACTACAATCAGAAAGCATTCTGAACCCCACTAATGATAGAATTGGGCCAAACTTCCCACACAGAACCCCCACGACCAACAGAAAATACTGGGTTTTCTGATGATCTTTGGCGACCCCTCTGACACCCCCTCATGACCCCCACCGTCCTGGCCCCCACGTTGAGAAATGCCAGCTTACATTGTTGAATGAATGAAGTTTGATGCTACTTTAACTGCCTTGGCTCAATGTTATGGAATTCTAAAAATTGGAGTTTTACAAGGTCTTTAGCTTTCTCTGCCAAACAGTATTGGCGCTTCTCAAAACTATAACTCCCAGGATTCCATAGCATTGAGCCAAGGCAGTTAAAGTGGTGTCAAACTGCATTAATTCAACTGTGTGGATGCACCTTGAGTAACTGCGTATTCATTCACATACTTCAGAAATGCCAGAAAGGCTTCGTTGGGGTCTGCATAGGAGTAAATGTTTAATAATGGAGTACTTCATCTCTGTCCACCCAGAGGCAGGTTCCACTGAGATCAATGGGACTTATTTCCAAGTAAAATGTGCACAGGAATGTAGTTTTTATAAGAGCTTCTGCATCATATCCTGTTTGAAACTAGACTGATATTATTTTCACTTTTTTCCACTGAAGGCTGGCCTAACATAAAGTTTGAAATAACGTAATAGTTTCTGTTCATTATCTGTGCTCTTTCGAAGCAGAGTTATTTTTGTTGCATAAGGAGGATGTAAAGATGTGAGATTGCAGAAATCATTCAACAAGTTGGAACAATTCCCTTTAGTTATGTGCTGTCAAGTTGTTTCCAACTTAGGGGTAGGTTTCCATGACCTAGCAAGGATTTGATAAGGCTTTTCTGTGTGGCAAAACACTTATCGAGACTGGCAGATGTTTTGTGACCTTGATGTCATTCTTTGTTACTATTGTGTGCCTTCAAGTCATTTCCATCTTACGGGAACCTTAAGGCAAACTTCTCATGGGGGTTTCTTGGCAAGATTTGTTCAAATAGAGTTTGCCAGAAGGACTTGTGCGGCTCACAAAATATTCAAGGAATGAAATGCAAAATACAAGTGCAAAACAAAACATACAATGAACACAACATCATAAATTCACAGTACCCCCTGGTAAAAACAATAAAATACAGCAGTTGCTGTAGATAAAACAACAGTATTCAATCTCAGAAGTGTAAAGTGCTAATAAAGAATCTAAAGGTCCCCATATATATATATATATATATATATATATATATATATATATATATTACAAGAGAGTCTAAACATGGTCAAAGCCAGGTCTTTAATTGTGTGTGGAAGGTTTGGAGGGTGAGGGCTAGCCTGTTGTTGTTGTTGTCCTGCTTTCCTTTCTTATACTGGCAGGGTTGAACTAGAAGATTTTTGTGTGTGTGTCACGAACAACTTGAGAAACTTCAAGTCGCTTCTTGGTGTGAGAGAATTGGCCATCTGCAAAGATGTTGCCCAGGGGATGCCCGGATGTTTTGATGTTTTCCCATCCTTGTGGGAGGCTTCTCTCATGCCTCTGCATGGGGAGCTGGAGCTGACAGAGGGAGCTCATCCACACTCTTCCCAGATTTGAACCTCTGACCTGTCGGTCTTCAGTCCTGTTGGCACAACCCCTTAACCCATTGCGTCACCGGGGACTCCTAGAAGATGATCCCTTCAAACTCATGTACTCTCTTCTGCTGTACTGGAGGAAAGAGATAACAAAGTACCATACAATGAACTTCTATGTCCCTCTGAGGCTGAGGCAATGGAAACTATGGAGCACATTTTGTTGTACTGCTCTTTTTACCGAGACCTTCGTTAACATTTTATAAATCCTATTTTAGAAAGTTTACCAGGGAGATATATAAAGTTTTATGTTGATTATCTTTTGGCTGGCCAACACCCCAGAATTACTGCTAAAGTTGCTAGCTTTTGTGCAGCAGCAATAGCTTGTCGTCACAAGATGCTGTCACACTCTTAGAAGGTTTTAATATTTACTCCAGTTTTTAACATTGTAATTTTAGCATATACATGTTTAATACTGTTTTAACTTTCATATTCAATACTGGGTTCTAACTTTGCATATGTTCTTATTCTGACGTATGTACATTTCTTGGTGCTGGTCATTGACCGTAAATAAATGTATATACAGTTTGAGTATCGTTCATCTGTAATTTTGAAATTGCAGATACTCCAAAACCATTCTTAATGTTTTATGCCCAACACTAGCCACCCCCTGCCACGTGTTGCCGTGGCCCAGCCTGATGAACTGGAAAATAAAGTAATGAGAAAGTGTTGGCTTCTAATATATGTAATTTCTTTATGCTTGTGGGTAAACATTACTTCTTTTTTGTTTTTTTTTGTCAATGTTGATCTAGAGATTGTCTGGTTTGCCTACTCTGGAACATGGAACATATTGTCCTTCATTAGGGGTCCCTTTCAAATCCATGATATTATATCTGTCATATGTGTGTGTGAATCATATCTATCTATATCTATGGCTGGATGGCTCTTTGTCAGGAGGGCTTTGATTACGTTTTCTTGCCCTGGTGAAGGGAGTTGGACTAGATGGCCTTAAGGCAGCATTTCTCAACCTGGGGGTTGGGAACACTGGGGGGGGGTCACAAGGGGGTGCCAGAAGGGTTGCTAAAGACCACTAGAGAATACAGTATGGTCATGGGGTTTCTGTGTGGGAAGTTTGGCCCAATTCTATAGTTGGTGGAGTTCAGAATGCTCTTTGATTGTAGGTGAACTGTAAATCCCAGCAACTAAACTCTCAAATGGCAAAGTCCATTTTTTGAGTGATGGTCACTCCTTGGGGTAGTAGGTGTCTTGTGTTCAAATTTGGTGTCAATTGGTCCAGTGTTTTTTCAGTTATATTAATCCCACAAACAAACATTACATTTTTATTTATATAGACTAGCTGTCCCCTGCCACGTGTTGCTGTGGCCCAGTTTGTGTATATGTGTGTGTATATATTTGTGTATATATGTGTGTTTGCATTTATATATGTGGCTTTGTTTATGCATTGTAATGTATTTTTTGTTGTTGTTTTGGGCTTTTAAAGTATCTTCTGCTGTGTTTTTCAGTGTTTTATGAGTGACTACCTGTCCCCTGCCATGCGTTGCTGTGGCCCACATGGGGGTTCTGTGTGGGAGGTTTGGCCCAATTCTATCGTTGGTAGGGTTCAGAATGCTCTTTGATTGTAGGTGAACTATAAATCCCAGTAACTACAACACCCAAATGTCAAGGTCAATTTCCCCCAAACTCCATCTGTGTTCATATTTGGTTGTATTAAGTGCTTGTGCTAAGTTTGGTCCAGATCCATCATTGTTTGAGTCCACAGTGCTCTCTGGATGAAGGTGAACTACAACTTGCAAACTCAAGGTCGATGTCCACCAAACACTTCCAGTATTTTCTGTTGGTCATGGGGTTTCTGTGCACCAAGTTTGGTTCAATTCCATCGTTGATGGAGTTCAGAATGTTCTTTGATTGTAGGTGAACTATAAATCCCAGCAACTACAACTCCCAAATGACAAAATCATAAATTTTTGAGTGATGGTCACTCCTTGTGTTGTGAGACGTTTTGTTGCTAAATTTGGTGTGGTTTTGTTCATTGGTTCTTTTGTTTTTAAGGTACTCATTATGCATAGAGCATTTTTATATATATTGATGGTCTCTCGTCGGCCTGAGAGGTGTATTGTGTCCAAATTTGGTGTCAATTCATTCAGTGGTTTTAGAGTTATGTTAATCCCACAAACGAACATTACATTTTTGGATTGTTGTAAGTTTTTTTTGGGCTATATGGCCATGTTCTAGAGGCATTCTCTCCTGACGTTTCGCCTGCATCTATGGCAAGCATCCTCAGAAGTAGTGGGAGGTGTTGTTGATGTTTGCCTCTAGAACATGGCCATATAGCCTGGAAAAAACTACAACAACCCAGTGATTCCAGCCGTGAAAGCCTTCGACATTACATTTTTATTTATATAGATTATGAAAAGTTATATGTATGAAGTTCCCTTTGGGTGATGCATATAAAGTCTCTATGAAACATAAATGAGTTCTATGTTGAGACTTGGGTCCCATCCCTAAGCTATCTCATTATGTAACTGCAAGAATGCCAAAATCCAAAATGCAGAACTCATCTGTTTCCAAGCATTTCGGACAAGGGATGCTCAACCTGTAATAAAATGATAGACATCTTTTCAAAACCTCACTGTAAGGTCTCTTCTTAAAACCTGCATCCCTAATGATCTCCTATAGCACTGTCGCTTAGAGTACAAGAGAATGGTGTTGAGTCACCAGATTGGTATCTGCAATTGTGTTATTTGTTTCTTCTTCTTCTTTTTGTCGCCCTCTCTTTCTTATCTGCATCTCCACCTGCAGGATGCAATCCTAAAAAGAGTCAAGTCAGGAGACTTTTCTGGCTTCTCCTAGTCAGCAGATGGCGCTCCTTTAGTTACAAATCTCTATTGGAAAGAGACAGAAAAAAACCACAGAAAGAACTATATTATTTTCTTCCGATGGTGAACTGCCTTTTTTCCGTTCTCTATTTTTTTTGTCTTCCCCTTTTTGTGTGTGTGTCTGTGTGCAAAGGCTGGACAGGAAAAGAAGACAAAAGAGGAGGAAGTCCAGACCGGCAGAAGCTCAAGAGGAAGAGAGATGTGCAGGAGAAGGCTTGAATAAAAAAGAAGAAGAAGAGAGAAAGAGAGAAAAGGAGGGGGGAGAGAAAAGGAGAAATTGTTGACACATCATTGACAGAGGAGGACCGCTTGATGGAGAAGCTGTGGCGAGATAGATGGAGGACCGAGTGACGCAGATGCTTTCCAGCACTGTGATTCCTGCAGTGAGCAAAAACAGGTAGAGAGGAGGGAGAGGAACAGGTAGAAAGAAAGAAAAAGATAGATAGAAAGAAAAGAGAAACAGCAAGGGAAGTGTGAGATGGGATAAAGGGAATGGACAAGCAACAACACAAGATTGCCAAGTAAATAAATACAGAGTCTTGTCATCTTCCCCGAATCCAGCTGGAATACCATCACACTCCAAAAGTTGGACCAAAAGAAAAAGAAGAAAGAGTAAGGAAAGAGTGAAATGGGATAAAGGGAACGGGCGAGCTTCAGCCAAAGGTTGCGATCCAGCTTGGAAGCCAAGATTCTTATTATCTACCCCACATCCACCTCTGACATCAACACAACCCCAAAAGTTGGACCCCGATGTCGGGACGGGCGGTTCGAGCAGAGACGCGGAGCCGGGCGAAAGATGACATCAAGAAAGTGATGGCAGCCATCGAACATGTCCGGAGATGGTGAGGCCCAAGGCTTGGTTATAGTATTTGTTGACAGTGGTCCAACTTTGGCCAGAAATGTAGTTAAATGTATTGTCGAAGGCTTTCATGGCCAGAATCATTGGTTTGTTGCAGGTTTTTTCGGGCTATATGGCCATGTTCTAGAGGCATTCTCTCCTGACGTTTCGCCTGCATCTATGGCAAGCATCCTCAGAGGTAGTGAGAAACCTCCCCATGTTCTCACTACCTCTGAGGATGCTTGTCATAGATGCAGGCGAAACGTCAGGAGAGAATGCCTCTCGACCATGGCCATATAGCCTGAAAAAACCTACAACAACCCTGTAGTTAAATGGGTTGTCTTAAGTTTTTCGGGCTGTATGGCTATGTTCTAGAAGCATTCTCTCCTGATGTTTCACCTGCATCTATGGCAGGCATCCTCAGAGGTTGTGAGGTCTGTTGGAAATTAGGAAAATGGGGTTTATATATCTGAAGGTCTAGGTTGCTTCAGAGTACTTGATGAACATAATGCCTGCCACAGATGTAGGCAAAACATCAGGAGAGAATGCTTCTAGAACATGGCCATACAACCCGAAAAACCTACAACAACCCAGTGATTCTGGCCATGAAAGCCTTCGACAATACAAATATGGCTAACGTAGGCAAACCTGGCTATTTTTTGGTCAGTCATCAGATCACTGCAGGAAGGGTTTTATTGGGACTTCACAGGGACCGGGCAATCTTATATTATTTCTCTGTGTTATGGTACATTGTTGGGCCTCCAAACCAAGCTTCCAAGGTGTGGGGCACAGGATTAATCTAATGTGTCTTTATGATTGTTTGCCATGGTCCTATCTACATTGCCATGTAATGCAGTATGAAATTACATTATATCAGGCATGGGCAAACTTTGGCCTTCCAGGTGTTTGGGACTTCAACTCCCACAATTCCTAACAGTCTTCTGGCTGTTAGGAATTGTGGGAGTTGAAATCCAAAACACCTGGAGGGCTGAAGTTTATCCATGGCTGCATTGTATGGTTAGCGTAGACTCATATAATGCAGTTCAGTGCAGTTAAACTGCATTCTATATGGGTCTAGAGTGGGCTGGATCCAATTTTAATTTGTATTTCCCTCCCTAAGGAACTGGTTACAGTTTAGAAAAGTTACTTTTAAAATTATACCTCCTAGAACTGTCATTATGCCAGCCAGCAGGGAAAACATGCATGCTGCTTGATTTGGAAGGAGTTCTAGGAACTGTAGTCCAAAAAAAGAGCAACTTGCAAGCTTTGTATTAAACGACTATGACTAAACTGCAGTGGTGCAACATATCTGATGCAACCACATTATTCTTTCTCTAAGGAGAGGTAAATACCCGTTTTTAGATGGGTTGTGAGTTCTTCGGTGTATGCAGTTTGTGCAGGTGGTCGTTATTGTTGTTAGTATAATATTTATTTATACCTCACTATCCTCTAATTCAGTGTTTCTCAACCTGGGGGTCAGGACTCCTGGGGGGGTCGCAAGGGGGTGTCTGAGGGGTCACTTCGCGACCAATTTTCTGTTGGTCATGGGGTTCTGTGTGGGATGTTAGGCCCAGTTCTATTGTTGATGGAATTCAGAATGCTCTTTGATTGTAGGTGAACTATAAATCCCAGCAACTACAACTCCCAAATGCCAATTCCCCAAACTCCACCCAAACTCATATATTGAGTATCCGAGCCAAGTTTGGTCCAGATCCATCATTGTTTGAGTCCACAGTGCTCTCTGGATGTAGGTGAACTACAACTCCAAAACTCAAGGTCAATGCCCTCCAAACCCTTCCAGTATTTTCTGTTGGTCATGGGAGTTCTGTGTGCCAGTTTGGTTCAATTCCATCGTTGGTGAAGTTCAGCGTGCTCTTTGATTGTAGGTGAACTATATATCCCAGCAACTATAACTCCCAAATGACAAAATCATCCCCCTCCCCCAACCCCAGCAGAATTCAAATTTGGCCGTATTGGGTATTTGTGCCAATTTTTTTTCCAGTGAACGAATACATTCTGCCTATCAGATATTTGCATTACGATTCATAACAGTAGCAAAATTACAGTTACGAAGTAGCAATAAAAATAATTTTATGGTTGGGGGCACCACAACATGAGGAACTATATTAAGGGGTTGCGGCATTAGGATGGTTGAGAACCACTGCCCTAAAAGCACCAGATTCCATCTATTGAAAGCCTAACAGGGTCAGTTCTGGCTAGTATTTGGATGGGAGAGCATCAATGAATATGAGCTGTATTTCAGAGGAAGGAATTAACAAAATCTATAGATTCCATGTGTACAGAATCATAGAATAATTGAGTTGGAAGAAATCCCAAGTTGCTTCCAGTCCAAACCCATTCAGTCATGTAAGTGTTATTAGGAAGGTTGAGAGCCACTGCTCTAATTAAATGAGACTCAAAGGTTGGGGTTGTTTCTAGTTTAGCATAGTTGTGTGCCAATCTGTTTGGGCAATATTTCTCATCTTGTCCACCAAAAAGTCCTTGATAGGATAGAATGGGATTGCCTTGTCTATTTTTTCAGAAAGGTTCACTTTACATGTAATAAAACGGGCGCATGCAGTTCCACAGTTGCACTTTCTGCCCACCAAAACATGACCCAGCTGATACATGCGCAGTGGATTGGATGGGAGGAGACTCATGCTCTGAATTAGTTAAGAGACCGCAAAAGAACCAGAGTTATTATGGCAATATAGGGACTGTCACCCAAGTGGCCTTTTGTATTGGTTTTGCCTTTCAAGTTAGAAGAAAATTAGAGGGGGGAAATGACCCTTGGCCTGTTAATATTCATCTTAAGACCTTCTGCAGATTTTCCAGCTAGGAAAGAGTATATTTATTTATTTATTTTATTTGCTACATTTGTATACCACCCCTCTCAGCCCGCAGGCAACTTGAGGCGGTTCACAAGGCAACAATTCAATGCCAACAACATCATAAAAATATTAAAACATTTAAATGCATTGACATATCAATTAAGACTATAACAATAGCTATATATATAGAGAGAGAGAGAGAGAGAGGAAAGAGAGAGAGAGAGAGAGAGAGTGTGTGTATATATATATATATATATATATATATATATATATATATATATATATGGGGGGGGGTGACGCAGTGGGTTAAACTGTTGAGCTGCTGAGCTTGTTGACCGAAAGGTTGCAGGTTCAAATCAGGGGAGCAGCATAAGCTTTTGGTGTTAGCACCAGCTTCTGCCAACCTAGCAGTTCAAAAACATGCAAATGTGAGTAGATCAATAGGTACCACTCCGGTGGGAAGGTAACAGTGCTCCGTGCAGTCATGCCGGCCACATGACCTTGGAGGTGTCTATGGAAAACGCTGGCTCTTCAGCTTAGAAATGGAGATGAGCATCACACCCCACAGTCGGAAACGACTGGACTTAATGTCAGGGAAAACCTTTACCTCTATCTATCTATCTATCTATCTATCTATCTATCTATCTATCTATCTATCTATCACATTTCCCGATTGTCTTCAAAATAACAACAACAACAATAACAACGGGAAATAGTGGGAATTTCTACATTCCTCTTTTCAAGCCACAAAGTACATTTAACGTGCATCAGAGTTAAAAATGGCATAACTTCCACATTTCTATAGGAAAAATAACCCAGGACATATGTGGTCAACCAACATCAGAATATGGTCAGAATGGCAAAGGTTATGAATGAAGAAGAACACACAAGGAAAGGCTGCAACAGTTTGCTTTTGCCCAAGCCTTTTGCAGCAGTTTGCTTTTGGCCAAGACTTTTGGAAATGGCAAAGTTATATTTCTTATTCTTGCTGAGCGAATTGAGTCTAAACTACTTCTACACTTTGAACTCATTTGCAGAAGAGGGAAAGCGGGAGTCGGAAGGAGAAACTGGGACATGTTACAAGCATCTGAAAAAGTGGGAGGGCAGAGGGTTAAAAGGGACACTTCCTGCCCAAACAGGACAATTGGAGGGTACAAGATGGATGAACTCCATCCAAACAGTTTCTGTCGCTTGCATCAAATAGCTCTACCTTTCTGAAAACAAAAAGAAAGTTTGAAGATACCTCTTGGTTTCTTTATGCTTACCTTGTAAGGTGCCTTGAGTTCGGTGCCAGGAGGAAAGCATAAATAAAATCCAATAAATACCCTGCTCCATTCATACAGTCGGAGTAGGCAGAAGCCACGCTCCTCTACCCCACCCTGTTGGGCTCACTTAAGCATGATAAGAAGAAAAGTGATCTTTGAAGATCCATGCTCCAAACATACAACTTCATTATTAAGGTAGCTGTACTGGTTTCTGTTTGTTTCTGGGCTCATTTCAAAGAGCTGGTCGTAATCCCAACGGCCCCAAACAGTCTGGGTTTCTGATAGGCCAAAGGACATCTCCTTTTGCATGAGCCGGATTGAGCGCTTTGCTCAACAACAGGGCTTGAGGTTCAAAGAAGAGGAATAACCTTTCCTTGATGTCCAGGCATTGAGAGTCTTATTGGTATATGGTGGAATTACCAGCAGGTCGGAAGGAATCTTGAGTACCCACAAGCTTTTAGATAGGGATGAACAAAAAGCAGCCTTTGGCAATGGTGTGTATGTCTGTCTTGTCATTGTTGTGTGCCTACAAGTCATTTCCAGTTTATGGTGGCCCTAAAACAAATCTATCAAGGTCAGCGAGTGTGTTTTCATGGCCAAATAGGGATTCAAATCCTTTTCCCGAGTTGTAGTCCATGCTCAAACCAAAGTGAGGGCATTTGCTTTCAAATAAGAATTATTTCCCTCCTCACAAAATTCATCCCCAAATTTCCAGCGTTGTAGTATTTATTGATTTATCATGTCAGAAGCAAATTGAGGGTACCATTGCACCAGGACTGTGGCGCAGCTGAGTGTCAGCTGCATTAAGATCACTCTGACCAAAAGGTTATGAAGCCAGCCCGGGTTGGAGTGGGTTTCCAACCAATTGTGTGTAGCCTGTTGTTGACCTTTGCAACCCGAAAGACAGTTGCATCTGTCAAGAAGGAAAATTAGGTACCACCTTAAAAGTGTGGGGAGGCTAAATTAACTGATTTATGAGGCTATAAAGAAGACTCCAGCAAAGCATTCAGGCGAGAAGCATGCGGGGAATGCGGAAGTGTTTCATCAGCGTCGCATATGGACGATGAAAGCGACAGCTCCCCTGGCAGCCAGAAAAAGTTAAATAGCCTCTGTGTATGTCTGTATATGTCTGTATGCCAAAAATTGGCATTGAATGTTTGCCATATATGTGTACACTGTAATCCGCCCTGAGTCCCCTGCGGAGTAAGAAGGGCAGAATATAAAAGCTGTAAATAAATAAATAAATAAATAAATAAATAAATAAATACCATTGTAATGTATTTAAAAAACACAAAGTTAAAAACTTGACATTATACTAAATGTCCTTCGACCACTTGGAGTGCCTCTGGTGCTGTAAGAAGGTCCCCAATTGTGCATGTGGTAGGGCTCAGATTGTATTGTAATAGGTGGCCTGTGGTTTGCTTTTCTCAACACTCACATGTTGTGGACTCCACTTTGTGGCCCCATTTCTTAAGGTTGGCTCTGTATCTCGTGGTGCCAGAGCGCAGTCTGTTCAGCGCCTTCCAAGTTGCCCAGTCTTTTGTGTGCCCAGGAGGGAGTCTCTCATTCAGTATCAGCCATGGATTGAGGTTCTGGGTTTTAGCCTGCCACTTTTGGACTCTCGCTTGCTGAGGTATTCCTGTGAGTATCTCTGTCGATCTTAGGAAGCTATTTCTTGATTTAAGGTGGCGTGCTGGCTGATATCCGAACAGAGGATGGGCCAGAGATGTCACTGCCTTGGTCCTTTCATTTGGCTGCTACTTCCCAGCAGATCTCAGGTGGTGCAATGCTGCTAAACAGTATGATATCTCCAGTGGTATGGAGTGTAGACATCATGTGATAACGCAGCATGTCTCATTAAAAGCCACATCCACTGTTGTGAGATCCATGTGGTGAGATGTGTTGCACACTGGGCATGCGTATTCAATAGCAGAATAGCAAAGCATAAGGGCAGATGCCTTCACTGTATCTGGTTGTGATCCTCAGGTTGTGCCAGTCAGCTTTCGTATGATACTTTTTCTAGCACCCACATTTCGCTTGATAGTCAAGCAGTGCTTCTTATAAGTCAGAGCATGGTCCAGAGTAACTCCCGGGCAGTTTGGTGTGCTGCAATGCTCCAGTGGGATTCCTCCCCAGGTAGTCCTCGGAGCTTGAGATGCTGGTCTGTTCTTAATGTGAAAAGCACACATCTGCATTTTAGATGGATTAGGAATTAGCTGGTTCTTCCTGTAATAGGCAGCAAGAGTGCCAAATGCTTCGGAGAGCTTCTGTTTAACCATTTCAAAGCTCCCTCTTTGAGCGGTGATGGCATGATCGTCAGCATAGATGAAGCATTGCAGTAACTCTATGGGGTAGCTCCCAGGACTCTGTTTGTGGAAACCTGGCATCAGGAGTTCCTGCTTAGAGAGCTCCATGGTTATAGTGCAGTAAAGACTTCTAATCTTCCCTTGAACTACTAATTCCAAAAAGGAGAGAGTGGTGGCCATTAAAATGTAACCAAAATGCCATAATGGTGCTATGTCAATACATTCTTGGTTGCCAGTCACAGTGATAAAAAGTCACATTTATAATGATAAAAAGAGATGTGCATAGATTTGTAAAAACAGCTTCTTTGTTAACTGTGGTGTGCCTTTACTATCTTTACAAATCCTTTTGTAATTGCTGGGTCTTTGTGAGGATCTGGCAGTTGGCAAGCGAATGGTCATTATTGGCCAAAATGACTCCGAGGGTAGTTTACAAATCATTAACCTCTGGCTTACAATCTAAAGAAGACACAAAATATAAAGAAAAGGGATTGGCAGTGGGGAAAGGGTTTATATCTGGCATATAAATGCCTCTTCTTCCTTCTCTCTGCGGCCAGAGCAGGTCCATTTGGGATGGTGAGAGGATCTTTCATCTTTCCATATTTCATCTTTTCATCTTTTTCTAGGCCTCAGTATGGTGGTGCCTCTCCTTCTCTCTCTGTTAGATCAGGACAGTGGCATTTCGGATGAAGACAGGACCCTTCATTTTTGTATCTTCTTGTAGTCCTAGACATGGTGGAGCTGTTTCTGCCTCTTCTTCTCTTTGTGTGAGATTAGTGCAGTGGCAGTTGGGATGGCCTTTCATCTATTTTCTTCCACAGTACAATCATGGGAGTTTTGTTGTTGCCTTTGAGCAGCTTCACTGGCATCCAACAATTTTCTAGGCTCAATTCAAGGTGCAGGTTATTATCTGTCAAGCCCTACCAAGCCCTATACACTTTGGGTTCAACCTATTTTTGAGATCGCATCTCTTTCTATGAACCGGCACGGGCTTTGAGATAGGTAGGGGAGGCCCTTCTCTTAGTCCTACCACCGTCTCAAGTGTGGTTGGTGGGAATGAGAGAGAGCACCTTCTCTGTAGTGGCTCCCCGGTTCTGGAAAGCCTCCCAAAAGAGATTAGATTAGCCCCTATCCTTGAATCCTTCTGTTCTAGCCTAAAAACATGGATTTTAAAACAGGCCTTTGGCCTCAAGTAGGCTGAACTGGACCTATATTACATGGACACATTGGCACTTTAGTTGTATATTGATGGCAGCTAGTTTTAACCATTGATGGAAAGTGTTTTTAAATTGTGTTTTTTATCTTATGTGTTAATAGTGGTTGTTTATAACTTTTATGTGATATTGTTTTATACTCATGTACTGTTGATGTTTATACTGCACTTGCAGTGCCTTGCAGAGACATCTCCAGCTCATCCCTTGTTTGGGTATCAGCCAGCACGTCAATGATTTAAATCAAGAAATAGTTTTCTAAGATCTACAGAGACACTCACTGGAACACCTCAGCAAGCGAGAGTCCAAAAGTGGCAGGCTCAAACCCAGAACCTCAACCAATGGCTGATACCAAATGAGAGACCCCCTCCTGGGCACACAGAAGACTGGGCGACTTGGAAGGCGCTGAACAGACTGCGCTCTGGCACCACGAGATGCAGAGCCAACCTTAAGAAATGGAGCTACAAAGTGGAATCCGCGACATGCGAATGTGGAGAGGAGCAAACCACTGACCACCTGCTGCAATGCACCCTGAGCCCTGCCACATTCACAATGGAGGACCTTCTTGCAGCAACACCAGAAGCACTCCAAGTGGCCAGATACTGGTCAAAGGACATTTAATCAACTACCAAACTCGCAAATTTTGTATTTTGTCTGTCTGTTTGTTTTGTTCTGTTAGAAATGTAATACAATTGACTGGTGGCCCTGACACGACAAATAAATAAATAGTGCCGTGTTAGCCACTCTGAGTCCCTTTTTGGGAGATGGAGGTGGGATACAAATAATAATAATAATAATTATTATTATTATTATTATTTCTGACCTACAACAACTCTAAGGGGAGCCTATCACAGGGTTTGTTTGGCACGATTTGTTCAGAAGGGGTTTATGTTTGCCTTCTTTTAGAGGCTGAAGGAGTGTGAGTTGGCCAAGGTTACTGGGTGGGTTTCATGAACTGAATGGGGATTCAAATCTTGGTCTCCAGAATCACAGTCCAATGCTCAAACCATTACACCATAGCTGGATGTTCAGTAAACAGTGAGGTTCATATGGCAGGCCCCTAGCTTACATTGCTTTCTCTTCTCTGCTTCCTAGGGAAAAACGGTGGGTGACGGTGGGAGACACATCTTTACGCATCTACAAGTGGGTACCCATTGTGGATCCCCGGGATGAGGTAAGTGGAGGAAGTCTCTGTGCTATCTCTAGTCTCTTGTCTATTGTCTTCCCTTATTTTCTTAGTCCCTTCTTCTCTTCCCTTTTTCAACAGGAGAAAAGGAGATTGGCAAGCAGCAATGAGCAGCAGAGGGCGAAAGAGAGAAGATCCCAAGGGCTCAGTCCTCGGAGCAATCCTGCCTTGCTCATGTTGGATCTCAATGGTACGTCTTGGAAAGTGGAGGACAGGAAAGGGAATGTGTATCCCATCCCTGTTAAGTCAGATGGAGCTTTCAAAAAATTAGCTCAAGCTATAGCTGCTAGGTTATAGCAAGCTAGGTTAACCCCGGAAACTATCTATTTAGTTTTGGACTAGATCAGGCATGGGCAAACTTGGGGCATCCAGATGTTTTGGACTTCAACTCCCACAATTCCTAACAGCCTCAGGCCTCTTCCTTTTCCTCCTCAGCCACTTAATAACCAAACCAAACCTAAAATTGACCAAAAACTGATTTGTGACCCTTTTGGTACTAACGTTGGAGAGTGGTCCCTGGTCAAAAAAAGGTTGGGAACCATTGATTTAAACCCATACAGTGTAGTTAAATGGCATTATATGGCTCTAAACTACATAATATGGCAGTGTGAATCCAGCCTACGTCATGTGGAAAGGTGCATTACTGCAGAACCATTTCACCTGACCTGAACTAAATATCACATGAAGATGTCCACGTTCTAGTCTGTCCTGAATATCCAACCTCCAAAGATCTTTTCTATGACATCCTCTGTGTTTCTCATGGTTATATTTCTGCTTTTCCCAGATGAGAACAGTAACCAGAGCTCTATTTCGGAAACCTCCTTGCTGAAAGGTGGTGACACCAGCCCCAGTCCTACTCCAGACCGCAGCCAGACTGTCACCCCAACTCCATTAGGGGAGCTGAAGACCGAGGATTCACAACCTCCTTTGTTGGGGCAGGAAGGAGGTAGGTTCAACCAGGGGAGAGTTGAAGGACAGGGGACACTAGAGTTTGGATCTATACAGCTCTATATGACTTGGATACCATATACCTGAAGGACCACATTGTTTTATTTGAGTCTGCTGATGCTCTAGATCATGCATGGGCAAACTTTGGCCCTCCAGATGTTTTGGACTTCAACTCCCATGACTCAGGAACTGTGGGAGTTGAAGTCCAAAACACCTGGAGGGCCAAAGTTTGCCCATGTGTGCTCTAGATCCTTCCATGGAGGAACTTCCTTCAGTCCTTCTGCTTTTCAAACCATATTTGGTGGGAACAAGCGGAAGGATCTTCTTTAATGGGAGTTGTAGTTTAGTAAGGCACCAGCACTCTTTGACTAAGAAGGCTAAGGTCCTTGCAAAACTACAATTTCCAGAATTCCATAGTATTAGACCATGGCAGTTAAAGTTGTGTCATGCTGCATTAATTCTACAGTGTAGATGCATCTCTAGATATTTTGGGGGAAAATCTTTGATAGTCTAAAGTTGAATTCAGTAACACCACAAAATCATGGATCTGCCAAGTCTGATCTCTTATTTTCTTTCCTGGGTGTAGATTCTAGTGGGTCGCTTCTGGAGGGGACAGATGAGCCTCCCATGCTTACCAAAGAAGAGCCAGATCAGAAGACATTGGATACCCTGGTGAGTCTCTTTTATGTTTGGAAGGGGAAGGACTTTTCTGCTGTTTCCACAGCGATCCCTTCTGTCCAAAACTGAATTGGATCAGTTGATCAGCTTCACTGTCCATGGGATGAAAGTTTGAATCAGGCCTCTCCAAACTTTTACTATCCAGGTAGAACAGTGGTTCTCAACCTGGGGTTCCCAGATGTTTTTGGCCTTCAGCTCCCAGAAATCTTAACAGCTACTAAACTGGCTGGGATTTCTGGGAGTTGTAGGCCAAAAACATCTGGAGACCCCAGGTCAAGAACCACTGAGGTAGAAGCTCTCATAATTCTTCAATCAGTTTTACAGGTTAGGAAGAAGGCTGCTTTCTAGAGTTCAGCAACTGTTTTGTTTAGGGCAACACTTGGGACAATCCTTCCCTCAAGGAGATAGGTTCTTGGTACACATTAAGCATCTCTTATACAAAATGTTTGGGGCCAGGAGTGTTTTGGACTTCGGAATAGCTGTATTTCCATATATGAATATAATGAGCTGTTTGGAAATGGGGCTCAAGTTGAAACACAAAATTCATTTGATGTTTCATATATACTTTATTGTCAGGATCCAGGGCTATGCTAGTATGCAGGCAGAGGTGAACCAAGAACAACACCCCGATCAACAAAGTCAAAATTTAACACACTAAAATTCATAAAACAATATAAAACATTATTATAACACAGTATAAAAACAGCCATCGAACCAACAATGAGTGGCCTGAAATAGGAAACAGTTTTTGTGCTCGAGTGAGCGGGCTGGTGCAAATCAACTGTGAGGACAAAGCTGATGGATAAAGTGCGAAAGCCAAATGGCAAAATTAGGAATAGAGGGCAATATATAATAGAGTGTTATATCTCTGAGTAAGGAACAGTAGTAAAGTGCAAGGACTAGATTTTGGATCATAGTTGGGACCAAAATTATCTGGGGAACTGTCTAATCCAGGGGTCCTCAAACTTTTTAAACAGAGGGCCAGGTCATAGTCCCTCAAATTGCTGGAGGGCCGGATTATAATTTGAAAAAAGCATGAATCAATTCCTATACACACTGCACATATCTTATTTGTAGTGCAAAAACACTTAAAATAATATAATAATTAAAATGAAGAACAATTTTAACAAATAAAAACTTATTAGTATTTCAATGGGAAGTGTGGGACTGCTTTTGGCTGATGAGATAGGGTTGTTGTTGTTGTTGTGTGCTTTCAAGTCGTTTCAGACTTAGGTTGACCCTGAGCGAGGGCCAGGTAAATGACCTTGGAGGACCGTATCCGGCCCTTGGGCCTTAGTTTACGGACCCGGTCTAATCAAAAACACAATGGAACATCCACCTTTTTAGATCTTTATGAAAGATGGACAGGGTGGGTGCCAGCCTAACCTCCCTGGGGATAGAGTTCTAGAGCCAGAGAGCTACTACCGAGAAGACCCTCTCTCTCATTCCCACCAGCCGCATTTGTGACGGGGGTGGGAGCAAGAGGAGAGCCTCCCCAGAAGATCTTAGGGATCATGCAGGTTTATGGGGGGAAGATGTGGTCACAAAGATAGGCAGGTCCCGAACCGTTTAGGGCTTTATAGGTGATAACCTGCACCTTGAATTGGGACCGGAAACTTATCAGCAGCCAGTGGAGCTGTTTGAACAGGGGGGATGGGAACCATTGCCTTAAATGTATTGTCGAAGGCTTTCATGGCCGGAATCACTGGGTTGTTGTAGGTTTTTTCGGGCTATATGCCCATGTTCTAGAGCAGTGGTTCTCAACCTGTGGGTCCCCAGATGTTTTGGCCTTCAACTCCCAGAAATCCTAACAGATGATGAACTATCTGGGATTTCTGGGAGACGTAAGACCTTCTAGAGGATGCTTGTCATAGATGCAGGTGAAATGTCAGGTGAGAATGCCTCTAGAAAAATGGCCATATAGCCCGAAAAAACCTACAATGACCCATTACCTTAAATATTGCAGATTCGTCTTTTCTACTGCTGCAAATATTCTGACATTAGAAACAGGAGAGGACTTTTGGGGGGGGGGGGCAGTTCTTGGCCCAAAGATCTCAGTCCTGATTAATGTGTGTTTCTTATGAATCTCATACAAATAATTGTATACAATAATTTAACAATGCAATGCATTAAACATATTATATATTTTGAATCATGGCTGTCCTCTGAAACCTCCAACTCTGGGAATGTGGCCTTGAAACTGTTTTTGGTTGAGGTCACTTTGGCAACCCTAGTTTACAGGATGTTTGCCTCTTTTTCCCCTCTTGCCTTCCAGGTGAAGGAGGCTGCCACCCCTTCGGAGCCTGCGAAGACCTTTGTGGAGCCCACATCGGAGGCGGAAGAGGTGCTGTCCCTTGGGACTCCGCCACTGAAACGTGTCCGTACTGAGGGGCAAGATTCAGAGCCTAGCCAGCCACCAGAAGCTTAGGTTCAGACCTGTTTCTGTCCTTCCCACTTCTATTGATTTGGTGTTGGGGAAACTTAAACGGAAGAGCATCTGTTAGCATCTTCTCAGTTAAAATATGGTACCAGCAGCCATTGTGTCCCCCCATCCCAATTCTCACCATTTTGCTGTCTGCCCCTGTAGAGGCATTATGCCACTGTGTGAATAAATACGGTGGCATCTTTGGATGCATAAAGGGACCATGTTTGTTTACAAATAGCAGCCGTTTTTACACTGTTCATTTATGATCTGCAGTATTAAAAAAGAGATGTATTGCTGAAGGTGAAGCACACAAAACTGAAACAAATTTGGGAACAGGCTTAGAGTTTGCTTTGTTTTCAATGCCTTGTTACTTTTGTGAATGGGAAAAACAAGAGCACAGTTGCTGGAAGTAAAGAACGCTTTAAAACACTTGCCAGGAAAGTCAAAAGGTTTCCAGGTTCTGTGTTGCAGTCTTTATTTGGGAACTGAAGGGCACCTATTGATTTTAAAGCAGGCATGGGCAAAGTTTGGCCTTCCAGGTGTTTTGGACTTCAACTCCCACCATTCCTAACAGCCTCAGGTCCTTTCCTTTACCCCCTCAGCCGCTTAAGCGGCTGTTAGGAATGGTGGGAGTTGAAGTCCAAAACACCTGGAGAGCCAAACTTTGCCCATGCCTGCTTTAAAGGCAAGGTGACATACAAGCCTCCTCTTATTCCAGTGTTGCAATCAGGCCAAAACTGCTTCCACATCCAGTAAATATAGCCAAATAGGACAATTAACCCTTTCCATTTTGTAAAAAAAATTCTTTTTGTAGTTTAGAGGAGGGGAGAAGAATTTGGAGAGGGTTTTTCCCCCCCCCCCCCCCCCAGAATGTTGAGAACTAGATTACTGCATCTCAGGGTGAAAATCCCATCCTGGTTTGTGGGCACGAAAGATGTCTTGGGCCTTAATGAATCTGTCATTGATTTTTAAAGCAACGAGTCAATGGTTGTCCTTGAAATCCCATATGAGTCAGGTCTACTTTTTGGCTGCTTTGTAGGAAAGAAAAAGGGTTGAAAGCATTGGTTGTTCTATTGCGATTAGAGCTTGCTTCCATATCATTGAAATGTTCTGGGGATAAAGTTTGGTCTTTAGTCTCTAGCAAGGGACTAAGGATACATCTAAGTAAAATAAAGGTTTCCCCTTGACATTAAGTCTAGTCGTGTCCGACTCTGAGGGTTGGTGCTCATCTCCATTTCTAAGCCGAAGAGCCACCATTGTCTGTAGATACCTCCAAGGTCATGTGACCAGCAGAAGCAGTACCTATTCATCTACTCACACTTGCATGTTTTCGAACTGCTAGGTAGGCAGGAGCTGGGCCTAACAGCGGGAGCTCACCCTACTCCCCAGATTCAAACCGCCAATCTTTTAGTCAGCAAGTTCAGCAGCTCAGCAGTTTAACCTGCTGTGCCATCAGGGGGCCCAGGGATGAATCTACACTGTAAAATTAATGCAGTTTGACATAACTTCAACTATCATGGCTCAAATCTTAGGAGTTGTAGTTTTATTAAGTCTTTAGACGTCCTTGCCAAATAGTTCTGATGCCTCACCAAGCTCCAACTCCCCAGATTCAATTGCATTGAACCATAGCAGTTTAAAGTGGTGTCAAACTGCATTGATTCTAAAGTGTGGATGTACCCTACTTTAGAGGAGGCTAAGAAAGTCTTAAGCCTCATCTACACTGCCATATAGTGCAGCTTGAAACTGAATTATGTTCTCAGTGTAGACTCTTATAATGCAGATTAACTATGCTGAATTGGATTATATGAATGCACATTAATCATATAATACAGTTTCAAACTCAGTGTAGATGGAGCTTCAGTTGTAGAAATAGTAAGTTGGAACAGACCTTGTAAATGTGTTTTCAGAAGCTTTCGTGGCTGGAATCACGGGTTGCTGTGTTTTCCAGGCTGTATAGCTATGTTCCAGAAGCATTCTCTCCTGACATTTCACCCACATCTATGGCAGGCATCCTCAGAGGTGAAACATCGGAAGAAAATGCTTCTGGAACATGGCCATACAGCCCAGAAACTCACAGCAACCCTGTCCTTGTAAAGGTTACTTTGGTGTGTATAGCATACCTTCAACTGTCCATATTTGGCAGGGAGAATCTCAGTGAATCCTCTATCATCCCACATTATCAGTTGCTTTAAAATGTCCCGTTTTTCTCCTCTCCTCACTTTCCTTCTTCATCTTCAGCTTACTACCATTGCCACAAACTGCCATTTTTGCAGTAATTTTGACTTTTAAAGCAATTTGCTTCAATCAGAAGGAAAATTTCACAGGGAGATCTGAATTCTTATTTGGGGAGGGGGGGGGCATAGCCTCATTTTGCCCTCCTTGTGGCTGCACATGTTCTTAGTCCAGCTCTTTAGGCCTGTGCAAAAGCTTTGTATATGTTTAGAACTGTGTAATTCCATTGACCTGACACATATGACATATGTGGATTGTTGTGACAGACCCACACATGTGTACTTTGCAGCCTGATACCTGGCATGAAAATGTCACAACCGTCTTCTTATACATGGTATTTGCACAATTTCTCTCGCAGACACTGTTTTCGTATGCAAGCAAGCTTTGCAGTCTGCTGCTGGCCTCAAGACTTCCATTCACTTTAGAGAATGTGCTTAGTTAGTAGTGGTGGTAGCAATGTGCTATTGTTTGTTTTAGCAATCGTAGGCTAACGTTACTCTTTTATATTCAATTGTTCTAGAAGCAAAATGTTTATTTTTGAGCTGACATTGTCATTTTCGGGGTCTATAAAGGAAGTTCTTCCTCATGTGAAACCTTGTGTATGTGTCTTTCCTGGGTGGGGTAAAAGGAGAATGTACTTCAAAGTAACTCAGGAAGTATTGTTTAGTCTCTGTTTTGTCAGAGTCGCTCTGTTAATTAGGCAAGTGGCATTGCATGGAGTCACATAGAATTGGAAGCAGTGGAGACACTAGAGTTGGTGTCGCGCAGAAAGTAACTCATGGTGTCTCCCCAATGGATCTCTTCCTCTACCACAGTGGTTCTCAACCTTCCTAATGCCGTGACTCCTTAACACAGTTCCTCATGTTGTGCTGACCCGCAACCGTAACATTATTTTCGTTGCTTCTTCATAACTGTAACTTTGCTACTGTTATGAATCGTAACATAAATCTCTGATATGCAGGATGTATTTTCATTCAATGGACCAAATTTGGCACAAACACCCGATACACCCAAATTTGAATACTGGTGGGGTTGGGGGGATTGGTTTGGTCATTTGGGAGTTGTAGTTGCTGGGATTTATAGTTCACCTACAACCAGAGCATTCTGCAGTCCACCAACAATGGAAATGAACCAAACTTGGCACACACAACTCCCATAACCAACAGAAAATACTGGAAGTGTTTGGTGGACATTGACCTTGAGTTTTGGAGTTGTAGTTCACCTACATCCAGAGAGTGCTGTGGACTCAAGCAACGATGGATCTGGACTATCATTGGCATGAATACTCAGTATGTCCAAATGTGAACACTGGTAGAGTTTGGGGAAAATGGACTTGACATTTGGAAGTTGCAATTGCTGGGATTTATAGTTCACCTACAATCAAAGAGCATTCTGAATGCCACCAATGATAGAATTGGGCCAAACTTCCCACACAGAACCCCCATGACCAAGAGAAAATACCGTGTTTTCTGATGGTCTTTGGCGACCCCTCTGACACACCCTCGCGAACCCTCTCCAGGGGTCCCGGACCCCAGGTTGAGAAAATTGTTCTACGGTATAGGTACACTGTCAAGGTACAGATGCCACGAAGTCAAGCCCAAATGCAAAGTAACAATAGTTTATTAAAGGTACAGCTCAAAATAATCAAAAATGCTTAACAGCAGCAAAATAGTATTCCAAAACAAAACACAAACCAACTGATCAAAAAGGAGGCAAAACAGAGTCCCAAGGTCCTAAAACCCCCCAACCCACCAACAAAAATACACGGCAAAGGAAAGGGCACTCGCTATTGCTTCAGCGAGCACGATCCAGGGTGTAGCAAAGTCATAGTCAAGCCAGTCCAAGGGTCATCCACAGTAAACAGGATACAGCAGCAGCACCATCAAACGTCCAATCCAAGATCAGGGCAAGAGAGCAAAAACAATGTCCAGAAATGATCCAAGGTCCAAGCCAAACAGTAGCAAAGTCCCAAAAGAATCCACAAAGTTCAGGAAGCACGACCCAGCGTAACAGGAAACCCAGCATACACTTTGCCAGTCGCAAAGTCCCCGTTGTAACCAACCCTCCTGATATTACAAACTTTCCTTAGAGCTGCAATGAGACAACACCCCATCCTCAGCTGCTCCTGCATTCTCCTTCAAACTAGAATCAGACAACACGCCACACTCAGCTGCCAGTTGTGCTGCCCGAGCTGCTCTTTGCCTTGCCTGCCAAGAGGTCCTCCTCCTGTTTCTACTTACATCTCCCCAAACAGTAGACAAATCATCCTCCCTCCAAGTTTCATCCCCAGCAAACCCTCTGAATGTATCACTACTTGTAGGCTCCTCACACACTTCTCTCACTTCTGCTACTTTTGTCCAATCCATCTCATCCCCAACCCCATGAGTGTCACTCCCAGCACTTCTCATAGAATCTGCTTCATTGCCAAACCCATCATCCCCATCAAACCCTTCAAAAGACTCTTCATCAGTGGGCTCAGTAAGTATTTGCCAAATTCTCTTCTGCTGTTGCTCTTCAATAGACTCTTGCTCCCGAATAGACCTCTTTGCCTGCCTAGTCTCCAACTCCCTGTTGTTACTACTACTCAGAGACTCATCCACAACATACACCCTCCACCTGGGCTTACTTTTGGGTAAACAGGCATAAGGCTTATCTTTATTTATTTACGACGTTTATATCCCACCCTTCTCACCCCAAAGGAGACTCAGAGCAGCTTACAAGTTACATGTACATACAATATATTATATTATTAGCATAGCACACTATTAGTATTATCTGTTACTATATTGTAATATAGCATTATATTGTGTTTCCTGATGGTTTTGGCAACCCCTCTGACACCACCTTGCGACCACCCCAGGGGTCCCAACCTGCAGGTTGACAAACACTGCTCTTCCGGATCATATCACAATATTGTAGCTAAAATAGGAGATCTTCAAGTATTCATATCATTGCCTCTCCTGAGATTGTGTGTCTGTGTGTGTGTACACTTGCTGGTCCTTTGCTCTTGATACTTCCCAGAGATCCCAGCACCAAAGGGCACCTTGAAAAGATCTAGAAATTCAAAATGCATGGTTAGGCCATTCAGCAGCAGGAAATACATTCAGAATTGCAAATTAAACCCATATTTATCTTCACCCATCAAAGCACTCCACACAAAAGCATGTGTTTTGGCATATCGTGGGAAAAACACAGCTGTTGCTGGCCTCAAAAGCTGCTGAGGGAATAGTACAGAGGGGACGGGGAAAGTGGAAAGAGAAACTCATACCTTTTTACTATCACTATAGTCAAGATCGTCATGTGTTTGGTGTAGAATAATTACCACAATGTTGGTGATCTGTGCTTCTTCCAGAACGTTAATGTTTATCCACCTGTCTTTCCAAGAGATTTGTAGGATTTTTTTTTTAAAAGCAACATTGATGGAATCTTTTCGGATGTCAAGAACGACATTTTTAGATGGTCCATGTTTTGTAGGCATACAATAGAGTTGAAAGGACAATTTCAATTTAAAGATGTATAAAAAGGAAAGTCAACGCCTTTATCCTCACTCTGGTTAGCTTTTGGACGTAATTCCACCTCAGGGTCTCAGCTGACAATAAACTTATTTTTCTGTCTCCCAGAAAAGATCACTCTTGGTATGATCTCTCCTATCTGCTGCTACAACAGGAAAATTTGATCTCCCTTCCAGCTGCAAGCATAATCTTCTAACAAGACTCCATCTTCCTAACAATGGAGTCAAGCCAAAGGTCACAAAAGTCACCCAACACCTAACCAAGCCCTCTTCATGAGAACCCATCCATACCTCACCAACACCCTGCCACCCATTGTTAAGTTGGGCAAGACCCATTCTCTTATTCTGGGCAGGCAGGAATGGAGTTGTTAGCACCCATTGACTCAGACACTACCTGCATTCCTATCCTCCCTGCAGCCACTAAGGGCGGACCAAGAAAACAGCCACAAGACTTCAAACTGAGCAATGACAGTTTATTAAATTTCCCATTAGATCAAGAAACCAACCAGTGACAACAGCAACTGGCACATCACAGCCAACCAATGGACAGATCCTAGCCAGCCCCAGGTTGCGCCAATCAACACACAGAGCAACAAAATGTGTAGTTCACGTTGGGTCAGCCCACACGCTGCTTTGTCAGAGAAAGTAAGTATGCCATGCAGGTGAGCAATAAAGAACAAGTAGTTTACTAGGTTCTTGTAGGTTTTTTCGGGCTATAGGGCCATGTTCTAGAGGCATTTCTCCTGACGTTTCGCCTGCATCTATGGCAAGCATCCTCAGAGGTAGTGAGCTTGGAACAGTTTCTCCCCGTAGAGATGTTCAATGTATTGTCGAAGGCTTTCATGGCTGGAATCACTAGGTTCTTGTAGGTTTTTTTGGGCTATAGGGCTATAGTAGTTTACTCTTTGTAGTTCAGAACAACATATGTACAATGTGATCAGCTGCACCAACTCACATAAGGTCCTTTTATGAGAGATTTAAAATCGTCTTTCTTTGTCCATGTGGACAAACTCCCCTAGCAGCTCATGAAGCAAGAGCACACTCCAAACTCTCTCTCTCTCTGTTTCTCTTTCAGCTGCTCTCATAGCATCTACATAGCTTGAGGCTGAAAAATGTAACAGTATGCAAAAGTGCCAGGCTCAGCCTCTTCCTCGGGCATAGCCCGAAAAAAATCACCTTCATACATCTTATTTTACAGTTTATTTATCGTGTCAGGGCAACCAGTCAATTATATTACATTTCTAACATAACAAAGCAAACAAACAGACAAAATACAAAACTTGTGAGTTTGGTAGTTGATTAAATGTCCCTTGACCAGTATCTGGCCACTTGGAGTGCTTCTGGTGTTGCTGCAAGAAGGTCCTCCATTGCGCAGTTGACATTTACAGTTGACACACACTTACTGATTCCTTATATGCCCCAAACAAACATTATTCCACAGATACATAAACCCCACTTGCCTAGTTTCCAACAGACCCCTCAGTCTCTGAGGATGCCTGCCATACATGTGGGAGAAAGTTCAGGACAGAGTGCTTATGGAACATTTATTTATTTATTTATTCATTCATTTATTTGCGACATTTATAGAATCATAGAATCATAGAGTTGGAAGAGACCTCATGGGCCATCCAGTCCAACCCCATTCTGCCAAGAAGCAGGAACATTGCATTCAAAGCACCCCTGACAGATGGCCATCCAGCCTCTGTTTAAAAGCTTCCAAAGAAGGAGTCTACCTCACACCACCTTGCTCAACCATACAGTGACTCATAAAAACATAGAATCAGAGTTGGAAGAGACCTCATGGGCCATCCAGTCCAACCCCCTACCAAGAAGCAGGAATATTGCATTCAAATCACCCCTGACAGATGGCCATCCAGCCTCTGTTTAAAAGCTTCCAAAGAAGGAGCCTCCACCACACTCCGGGGCAGAGAGTTCCACTGCTGAACGGCTCTCAAAGTCAGGAAGTTCTTCCTCATGTTCAGATGGAATCTCCCTTCTTGTAGTTTGAAGCCATTGTTCCGCGTCCTAGTCTCCAGGGAAGCAGAAAACAAGCTTGCTCCCTCCTCCCTGTGGCTTCCTCTCACATATTTATACATGGCTATCATATCTCCTCTCAGCCTTCTCTTCTTCAGGCTAAACATGCCCAGCTCCTTAAGCCGCTCCTCATAGGGCTTGTTCTCCAGACCCTTGATCATTTTAGTCGCCCTCCTCTGGACACATTCCAGCTTTGTCAATATCTCTCTTCAACTGTGGTGCCCAGAATTGGACACAATATTCCAGGTGTGGTCTAACCAAGGCAGAATAGAGGGGTAGCATGACTTCCCTAGATCTAGACACTATGCTCCTATTGATGCAGGCCAAAATCCCACTGGCTTTTTTTGCCGCCACATCACATTGTTGGCTCATGTTTAACTTGTTGTCCATGAGGACTCCAAGATCAGGTTACAGATTGGCACGATTCGGTGCCATGCATTCATAAAAATGCGATGAAAAACATGGCCACATAGCCCAGAAAACTCTCAGCAACCCAGTGATTCCGGTCACGAAAGCCTTCGATTCCACTACTAATCTTTGCAGACCCAGTCGGGTGTAATAAGTCTGGCTGCAACCTTAGGGGTTGTTTCAATGCAAGGAAATATTGTGGCAAATCTATCAGACTGTCTTGCGCAAATAAAGGCGCACCAAACAAGCAAGGATGTCTTTGGGGAGGTTGGTATTTTGCTTGGGTTTGAAGGGAAGAGATCTGACCAAACCCTCCCTACACAGAGAAGCCATTGAAATCCACAAGCATGTGGACAATTTCAACAGAAAGGAAGAAACCATGAAAATGAACGAAATCTGGATAGCAGTAGTAAAAAAAATAATAATCTAAAATTCTAAGAGTATAAACAATATTCAACACAGGGGAACTTCAGACAAGAAACAATCAGGGACAGCTAACATCTCCCACCAAAGGATTCCCCCAGGCAGGAAGCAGCCAGGCTTTGAAGCTGCAAGGCCATTAAATGCTAATCAAGGGGGCCAATTGAAACATTCACACCTAGCTCCAACAGACAAGAGTTCTTTCTCCCACCCTGGACATTATTCCACAGATATATAAACCCCATTTTCCTAGTTTCCAACAGACCTCACAACTTCTGAGGATGCCTGCCTTAGATGCAGGCGAAACGTCAGGAGAGAGTGCTTCTAGAACATGGCAATACAGCCTGAAAAACCTACATCAACCCAAACATTCCTTGTTGCAAAGCAGGCGGGCAAGGAAGAGTTAAGGGCTCGGCTTGGCCAACTCCTCCTCCTCCTCCTCCCCCTCTTTCCCATGTGCAAAAAGAGAAGAAGAGCAAGGCGGAAGAGGAGGGCGAAGGGAGGCGAGGAGTAGCCAGGGCTCTGCGCTCATTTCCTGAGGGTGGGTGTGCGTGTTCCTGTGCTTGGAGAGGGGGGTTTGACCCCATTCTCCATTCCCTGGAGCCCAGCGTGGAAGGGGAGGGAAGGAGAGGAAAGGGGGGCAGAGCCGGGGAAAGCCGGATTGAGGCTTCCACCCAGCAAGCTCCCCAGCTCTTTCCATCCAAGGTGAGTCGTGCAGAGAGTGGGTTTGGTGTAATGGGAAGGAGCCTCAAGCAGGAGCACAGGGAAGTGTGTGTATGTACGAGGGATTTGGGGCAGAGGCAAGGGGTGGACTCCCCCAGCAACTGGGAAGGGGTCTGGGCTTCATTAGGCGGTTGGAGAGACTTGGCTTGATGATGCGTTTGGTTGGAGAGACTTGGTTTCATTATGCCTTTAGTTGGAGAGACTAATCGTGATGCACTTGGCTAGAGAGACTTGGCATCATTATCCATTTGGTTGGAGAGGCTCACCTTCATTATACACTTAGTTGGAGAGACTTGGCTTCTTTATGCCTTTGGTTGGAGATACTCATCTTTATGATAAACTTGGTTAGAGAGACTTGGCTTCATTATGCACTTGGTTGGAGAGACTTGGTTTCATTATGCATTTGGTTGGAGAAGCTCATCTTCTTGATGCACTTGGTGGGAGAGACTTGGCTTCATGATGCACTTGGTTGTTGAGGCTCATCTTCGTGATGCCCTTGGTTGGAGAGACTTGGCTTCATGATGCATTTGGTTGGAGAGGCTCATCTTCATGATGCGCTTGGTTGGAGAGACTTGGCTTTATGATGTGTTTGTTTGGAGAGACTCGCCTGGTTGGAGAGACTCGTGATGCGTTTGGTTGGAGAGGCTTCATGATGCATTTGGTTGGAGAGACTCACTTGGTTGGAGAGACTCATGATGCGTTTGGTTGGAGAGGCTTCATGATGCGTTTGGTTGGAGAGACTCACTTGGTTGGAGAGATGGCTTCATGGTGCATTTGATTGGAGAGGTTCACCTTCATGATGCACTTGGTTGGAGAGACTTGATTTCATTATGCCTTTGGTTGGAGAGACTTTCTTCATGATGCGTTTGGTTGGAGAGACTCACTTGGTTGGAGAGACTTGGCTTTATGGTGCATTTGGTTGGAGTGGTTCACCTTCATGATGCACTTGGTTGGAGAGACTTTGTTTCATTATGCCTTTGGTTGGAGAGACTTTGTTTAATTATGCCTTTGGTTGGAGAGACTTGGCTTCATTATGCCTGTGGTTGGAGAGACTCATCTTCATGATGGACTTGGTTAGAGACTTGGCTTCATGATGCATTTGGTTGGAGAGGCTTTTCTACATTATGCACTTAGTTGGAGAGACTTGGTTTCATTATCCATTTGGTTGGAGAGGCTCACCTTCATTATGCACTTGGTTGGAGAGGCTTTGCTTCACTGCGCATTTGGAATTCTAGAGTTAGAAAGAGACCCCAAAAGCCAGCCATTCCAACCACTTGACATGAAGGAAAATTACAGCAAAGCATGTAAATTACAGCCAACCACTTGACATGAAGGAAAATTACAGCAAAGCATTTGCAACAGATGGGCATGCTTAAAAACCTCCAGAGAAGGAAGTACTCTGCCACACTCAGGCAACATTTTCTACTTGGAGAGGCTTGGCTTCATTATGCACTTAGAATCCTAGAGTTGGAAAGAGACCCCCAGGAACATACAAAAGATGGCTATCCATTCTCTGCTTCTTTTTTTTCCCTCCACACTTCCAAACAACATGTACCACCAGATTGAGGAGATCTGGTTTCATTACCCAGGCCTCCTTTGGCAGAGACCTCCTGGGTTGGGGTCTCCTCCTCCCTGCTGTTTTTTATTTATCCTTCCAGCAGCTTCCTATCCTCCCAGCCTTGGGGGGAGAGGAGGTGCTCTGGCATGCAATTCCCCCACAGCCCTGCCCCCTTGCCTGCCTGCCTTCTTTCCAAAGCTGGGGAAGGCAGAGGAATGCAAGCACCTTATCTCCTCTTCCCAGCCTTTGGCTTGGACCTCCCTTCTTTACAGTTGCCAAGACTTTAAGCTTAAGTCCTGCCATGCCTCTTATTACTATACTGTATACAAGGCATGGGCAAACTTGGTGTTTTGAACTTCAACTCCCACCATTCCTAAGAGCCTCAAGCCCTTTCCTTAGCCCCCTCCTGACATCCCCATTGCTTCGGCACTTTAAGAGGGTTTCGCAAGACCAGTTGCTCTTGTTGCAACAGTGTAGTAATGGTTCTTGTGGGTTTTTTCGGGCTATAGGGCCATGTTCTAGAGGCATTTCTCCTGACGTTTCGCCTGC